AGAAATGAACCCCCACTTGAAATATGTAATGTAATGTATTTATGTTGTCTGTAAGTCATTGCAACACATTAAAATGCTTTGATCTAAACCATTGCCTTTAGCATTTGTACCATATACTTTAAATTTCAAATGATAGATTGAAAAGTCCTATGCAAAATGCATCTTTTCCTTCCACTGTATAAATTGTTTGTTGCAATAGAATTCCAGTAAAATACAGTGAGATTTGTTGTAATGTGATTATCTGAAAGTTCAGTGGATAGGTATTCTTTTGCAAGGCACTGCAGTTTTAGTAATATCTGATTAGAAGTAGGAGTAGCCAAGAATTGTACTCAAGTAAGAGTAGCAATATATTGGTATACATTTTACTCAAGTATAATGCAACAGGTTATAGAAAAGAAATTACTCAGGAAAAAAAAATATTTTGGTAGAAAGCCTTCTAAAGTAGCATATTTTACTAAATAATAATAAAAAAATAAAAAAAACTGAGCAATCATTCTCCAAATCTAATTTTATTCACAAAAATGCTACTAAAACCTTTTCTTGAACCAGATTGTATATATTAGAAAGGTGCAAAGTATTTCCTTTAAAGTATCTACTGTTTACTAGAATCACTCGTCCACCAAAATGCTCATCAGGCTCTAAAGATACAACAAAATAAAATAAAAATAAGTATAAAAAAAATAAGTTACAATTTAACAAAAATGTTTACTGTGTGTCTTTATCTGGCTTAGATTGGATACTGAAGTACTTACTTTAAAATAATATTACTGAAGAAGTAAAAAGTAGAGCAGAATAAATCTACTCATAGAATTGCAATTTTTATGTAATCAAGTAAGCATGACTGAGTAACTATTTCAGAACCCAATGGAAAACAGTGATCATATGACTGAACACATTTTTTTATAAAGATTTTTGCAACACACAAACAGCAAAAGAAAAATCACTTTTGAATTTCCTACTTTATTATATGGTTCAGGATGTTGCTGAGAATTTCCACAGTTGCAGTCTACGTTTTAAAAATGCACTGAAAAATAGGAAAATATCATAGTTTAGAATAAAAACCCTTTGACAGATAATGTTGCAGTAAGTTTCCACCATCAGTATAAAATTTATTAGAAGTTCAATTGGCTGGAGGTGACTGTCACATACACTTTGGATCCAGCTACGTTTTACACTCTCCTGTTGCTCTGGTGTGATTAGTCCACACACGGAGACAAGCAGAGAGATGGACCCCCGAAGAGCCTGCAAATGAAAGTTATGACACCTGAGGAGGGGTACCGGGAAAAGGGAAAATAAGGGGAAATCAAAAAGTAGAAAGCTAGGATACAGATTGTGTTACAGTGAAAATGGCCTCTGTGGCTGTCCTAAATTTTTTTCCAGTCTTCTCCTTCCCATCTCCTTTCATGCTATTCCTCACTGCAACTTGGTCCAATTACAAAACCCCTTATTACAACAGTATTGTATTACAAAGCTCTGTGTGTGATAATTGACTATACATCTCGAGCCAATCCTGAAGAGCACTGTTTTTTGGAGAGTGCCTTCATCAAGGTAAAATTAGTGTTTTGCTGCTAATCTCTGTAGCGCTTCCTCGATCTCCCTTCACCCCACTCCTCACTGGCAAGGCTTTGATGCCTCTATGGAGTAAACGCTACTGGCATGAATCAAATTCAATTAAATGATTTTCAATAAGAAAGGCTGCCATTTATCAACAGTGCTCATTTGCACACTGTGACCTTGGTAATGTGTGTGCGTGGTTGTGCGTGTGTGCGTGGTATTAACATTTTCTGAGCTGCAGGGTAGGAAGTGAGGATGAAGAGCAGCTAAGAATGCACAGTGGGTGTTACGGCTTCAGATGAAAGGGAAGAAGGGCCCAAATGCATGACAAAGAAGGAAGGGTGCAGGAAGGGGGGAATGGCTTTATTTAAGCTGATGCACACAACAGCAAAAATTAGGCAGGCTAACAAATACACAGGAGGAGGGTGATGCAGGAATTCCAGGAATAACAGAAAGATTTGGAAACTAAATGAGCCACTAACAGCGAATGTTGAATAGTCTTGCATAGGCAGCGTCGGCAGGGAATACAGACAAACTGACAGATGAAAGGGCAAAAATGCTGGACTCCAGACAGCACACGTGGGGGACTAATTGGTAACTGAAACCAGAGTGAGAAAAAAAAAGAATAATCTGTCAAAAGGGCACAAAGACATAAGATGGCAAAACGCAAGAGAAATAAGGAAAACAGCCATCAAAATAAAACTGTACAGCATAGAACACCTCAGATCTGACCTTTTACCCAAAATGGTCGCTTTCTTTATGTACCTTGAACAGTTTCATTGTAGGCCACAAACAACAAAAATAATCTCTTACCCTACAACAACAAAGTCTAAGAATTTTTGAAATGTTGTTTTTATGACGTCAATGCATTACAGTCTGAAAAACAGTCTGGTGTGAATGTCTGATAATACTTGTCAGAAAGCATCTTGTGCATGAATGATCTTATGTAGCTAACACATAAATTAAACAGGTTTTAAAATTTTTAATGATTAATTACTTTGAAATAATGGCCAATATGTTAAACCTATGACTATGATTAGGAAACTTCTTTTTATTCATTGGAATAGTTGTGAGTTTAAGCACATTGAGCGTGAAAACACCTTCACTCAAGGAACACTTTTATCGATGAGGGCAGATTGATTCTTTTATTTTTACATTTATAGTATTACTTGTCCTCTCCTTGGTCTGCCACCTTATCATGCTGTCAGGGAATTTATGCCCCTGATAGGGTCACCCAAGGCAGACAGATCTTAGGTGGAAGACCAGACAAAGCACAGTCTGAAGACACCTTATGATGGACAAGAACTTTGGACTTGATGTTCCCTTGCCCAGACGTGCGTCACCAGGGCCCCACTCTGGAGCCAGACCTGGGGGGTCTGTGCCTGTCGTGGTGGCAACTCTCGAACCTGTTGGTGGACACCTTCGGTGAGGGATGCTGTCAGGCTGAAGAGCGAGTCCTATCGGGCCTTTTTGGCCTGTGGGACTCTAGATGTAGCTGATGGGTACCAGTGGGCAAAGCATCATGGGGCCCGGGTGGTTGCTGAGGCAAACCTCAGGCGTGGGAGGAGTTTGAGGAGGCTATGGAGACAGACTTCCACATGGATGGTATTACTTGTCTAAAGAATGTGGCTTGAAAATTATAATCCTTGTTCTTTACTAGTTATATAGCACAACATGGTCTGAATTACTTCTATGTTTGTGTCAAACTGGCTGATAAGGCCCTTGTGACAGCTCTTCCCTCTGAAACCTTTGCTGCTGCAAGCTGAGATAAGTTTTCTTCTGATGCATTCAAGAGACACGAAGAAGGAGCTTTTGCAAAATGCTTTTGACTACATCGGTTCCTACATTAGGCTAAGGTTGCATGACATTCCTCCCAGGTTTGTGTATCATTTTTCCTTTGTGCCCTGCCATTCTGAATCCGAAGAGGGGATCCAGGGCTGTGGAAAAAAACACTGAATTTAACAAACAGTCTTCCGGTCTCCATGTGACCTTCTGGTAGAAATTCTTGCTATTGTGGTGAGTTTCTCTGGTCAGCCAAACTTACGAAATGGGAGAGTGCAGTTGCATGAACACAAGTCCAAACCACTGCCACTTTCAGTCAAACTAATCCTAAAAAGAAGTAAGGCATGGCATTGAAAAATAATGTTATGTTCCAATAACATAACATTATGCTATGTTATTACCAGCTGTAGTTTATTTTCTTGTGTTTTGAGTGATAAAATAAAAAAAAAATTAGCATTTTCACATAGATCACATAAGCTAAGTTCTTACAAATAGTTCTTATTTTACATAATGACATCTTACAAACTATCGAAGTGTGAAAATATCACACTTCAACAATATCTAAGAGATAAAGACTTATCCCACAATTCACTGTGGAATGCAGAAAATGATTATATAAACCCTGTACTTTCTTTGGCTTCTCATTAAAACAGTTGAAAGCAAAGAACCCATAACATGGAAATTCTTTGTGGTTTGACATTAAAACAAATGGCCTGTGACTATTGGCAACAAAAACAGAAGCTATCCAAAAACTAAAAATGTGCAGCCATACTTGCATGCTTTCAGACAAGGATCTAAAATTGATCAGCATTCATTCAAATTGGGCAAATAACAAATAAAATAGGTTGCGTATGAATGTGAACGTAAAATAGATGGTGACAAAAAAAACTGCAGCATGTACAAAGTGAAACTTTTTTAATAAAGACTAATGTCCTTCGAGATATATAAAATAGCATTAATATACATTTAAAAGGGCCAAGCACTGATTTTTTAAAATAATCAGACAAACTAAAGAAACCAGCCATGTCAAGATCTACTGCAGCCAAATATTGCTTAGAATCTCTGGGCACTTGTCTCACAGTGTGATTCAGGGTCAGGGTATGATTACTGATGAAGAGGAGCTGATAAGAAAGATTCACTTTAACTAAGGGCAAGGTCACCTCCCACTGCGGAGAAATGCAGATGTGATGAGACAGGGATTAGAGACTTTTTACTGCCCACACATGCAGGTACACACTCTGCTCCACATAGGAACGGTGGCAAAACACATACATTAACAATGCCTACCAAAAGTACTTCATCCCTCTTAGCAAAACTTTCTCTCATTACATCAAAAACACTTCAGAATGTTTAATTTGTACTTTATGTGACAGACCAAAATTTTCACCTTCAAGAAAACCAAGCGCCAAAGCGAGTTTTGATAGGTTTGGAGATGTGCTATACCCAAGGAAACCTTTGCAAAGAACTGTGGCTGATGATGTAATCTCAAAATTTCAGACCAAATTGAAAAAGACTAGAAATATCTTTTGCACATAACCAAAGAAGATGTTCTTGATCAGAATGTTAGGGTTAAACATGATTATGAATGAGCAACACTCAAGTAACTTTAAGACTAAGACGCTCTCTTGATAAGATACAAAAAAAGAAAAAAAGAACAAACTTACATGCGACTGCTTGGCGGAATCTTCCGTCCGTCTCTGAACCAGGTAACTTGCGGCTGGGGGAAACTCCGAATCCGTGGTGCTGAAATGACAGCGCCCTCCCCCTGAGAGACAGACTGACTGCGCTCACCCTCTTCGAAACTGCCCATAACTAGAAGAAGACAAAAAAAAAAAAACACACAAAAACAAAGTCAAGCAGTGCCAGGGGGCATGACAGGTAACACAGGAGTGTTGAAAAGCCACACATATAGAGTCACTGAAACAAATGCCGCTCTCTTTCCTTTGGTGACCTTAGGGCTGCTGCCATTTGCTTTGAGCTATAAAATGTTGCTTTGACAGACGGAGTAGAGATGTTACTATGGTTTCCACATCAAATCATGAAAGGCTTTCCAGAGGCAACATGTAATGAGTCACAAAGGGACATTAAGGGGAAGCTAAATTGACTTTACGTTGGATACTATTTTTCTCCCTCTTCCATAGCTTTATTTCTCACATTTGTTTCATATTTTGACTTCTTATGAAAAACAATACTGCAACAATATTCCTGGTGCTTCAAAGACTTGTGTCAAAGGAGATCTTTGGGTTTTTTCTTTCCCCTGATCTGATGCAGTGAGTAAGACAAAATAACAGGGTAAGAACCAGATTTTTGCTTCTGTAATTTGAGAGGGAGTAATAAAGAAAACTCATCTGAAATGAATGAATCGTTACATCAAAATGTCAATTAAGTCTAGGAAACAATTCAGATGTATTTTTGTCTGAAATGTGCAGGTGAGATAAAGGTGAGAGACTTCAAACCAGCGTTGATTGGCGAGCTTGTGTATTGATGAAAATGTTATTTTACCTTCTACCGCTCTTTTTCAAAGAGAATAACAAAAAGAGGTAATCTGGCTTTGCTCCGTAGCCATGGTGCTTAGCTTAAATGAAAATCTGGGGAGTCTGCAAATCCCCCTGACTTTGATCTGCAGTTTTTGTGATGGGATGTCCTCCTCCCCTTCCGTCCCCAATCCGCAATACCTTTCTGTGTTTCCCTTTCACTAGGGTGTGTCTTTGGATTCACAGTAGTGCCGCCTCAATGAAGCAGACACCAAAAGAAAATTTCTCTATCCTTTCATCCTTTTCTATCCTATCCATTTTTTTTCTGTAGGTGTCCCAAATTCTTTTTTTTTTTTTTTTTTACTCTGCATCTCCTTCGGAACTCTTCATAGTTTGAGCAACAGATACAGGGACAAAAGAGAATTATGGAAATGAGAGAGATGCAGGAATGTGGAGGAACTGAATGACAGTGGGGTGCAAGCCAAGAAATAAATAGAAAGCCGTGGTGGGCAGAAAACAAAGTCAACAGAGGAAGGAAGTGGCAACACATAGAGCTGGTGATGGAGGACCCAAAATGCAGCAATGTGAAAGGAGAAGCAGAAGGAGGGAGTTGCTGACACTAATGTTCTATTTGTCCAGCACTGACGATGTAGACCAACAGGACTGTTTGCTCTACACCATCTCCCTCCCACTTCTTTTTCTGTCACACCTGGCTGACTGCATTGTCAGGTAAACACGGTGCGGGAAATACAATCAAAATGTCCTTGCAACCTGAAGAAGCCAGCAAGCCCAACAAACTGAGGTAGGAGAATGCATGTAGAAGTGGGCTGAGGGGGGCAGTTGTGCATAAGAGGTTGTGGGTGGTCACAACGCGACAGTTCACCAGACGCCTCAACTGTGCGTCTCTAATAGCTTGTTAACGAGAGGAGGAATCTGAGCAGCCTGAAAGCGGCTGGGGGAAAATTTACAGGAATTTAGTGCAGGGGAGCGGCACTTTCCACTAAGAAACAACAGATGTTGTTGACAAAAGAGGGAGTCTGAAATAAGCTGCGGTCATATTGAAATGAAGCAAAGTTAAAAAGAACCATAGCAACAAAAATCAATCTAATGAGAATGCTGAGTGGAACAGCTGTCTGGGTTGATAACACTTTGAATGAAATGCAGGTAGATCTTTCACCCCACCAGCATCTGTCCCTCCCCAGCCAGTCCTCGATACAAAGGCAGCCAAAGAGAATGTGGGAATATTGTGTACTCTGCATGCAATAAAGCACATGCACCCTCCGTCTTACTCCAGACCCATGCGCTCCTCCATTTGTTCCATTAGTCTGTGTGTGCACTTACAGGCCACTTGTACTTCTGTACGTCTCTGCAGAAGGGCTCCCACCCGATTCCTCACGATGCAGCGGTAGAAGCCAGCATGAGAGCGATCTAAGGAGGGGATTAGGTACCTGCAACAAAACAAAAAGACAAACAATCTCTGAAATTGAAAATCACAAATTCAACCAAATAGATGAACAACATCTAACAAGTTTGGACAATGTCTTGAACCTAATATGGAGCAGTTGAGCAAATGTTAATATTAATCACAGAAAATTAAAAACAATCTTTAAAAAAATGAAGGGCACAAAGCACAATGAAACTTGAAACATTAATTTAAAATAGATGACTTTTTTAACTAACTAGGTGTTTTCTGAAGACTGTTGTACTGTTGAAGACTGGTTGTACTAGATTTTATTTAAGAGCATAGGGGTGAAGAAGTCTGAATATTTCCACCTTACTGGGTAGGATTATGAGGCCATTTCCAAACTGGCTCAAATTTATAATTCTATTTTTGAGGCACAGGACTCTTTAAAATTCAGCCAGCAATATTAATGACAGGACAAAGAGAACAAGACAGAACAAACATATGGTAAATTGACTGAACATAAATAGCACTTTTCCAGTCATTTTGATGATTAAAAGCACTTTACACTAGAGTCACATTCACTCATTCGCACTCACAAACGCACACACATTCATACACTGATATAGAGACCAGTAGGCAATTTGAATACCTTGCCCAGAGGCACATTGACATGTGGTAGGAGGAAACTGGAATCGAACCTACAACCTCATTTGTCTTATTTTGAGGAGATATCAGGGGAAATACTCTGCTTTCCAAAAAGAATACAGCAGGACATGTGAGGTTCACAATGCTGCTTTGAAAAAATCTACAAGACTTTTGGGAACATTGCCCTTTAGACTATGAAATCAAGGTAAAAATATTGGGCAATAGTGCAATCAGTCAATCAAGTTTATTTTGTATAGCACATTTCAGTAACAACACACAAAAAGACATAAAAAAAAACCCCATATAGTCAGCAATTGAGAAACTAATGAGAACCATTTAACATTGATTATCAACCATTCATCATCAACATCATCAGCACACATTAATTAATTATATATGTTTGGAGACAACCAAAGACATTTAACGTGTTGATATAAACGCCTCACGTCAACTATGGGGTGTCGGGAATTGAACTTGGTTTGCAGTCTTGGAGGGAAATGCCTCACCATGTGTATAACAGCTGTAACATCATTAAACAACGATTCTAAATACAGCAACAAACTTACAACAACATGAATGAAAAAAAACAACAACAACAAAAAAACATAATCACAGCGCAATAGATTGTCGAATCCTGACCACAGTCTGATAAAACTGCAAAAAATAAATGTCCACAAACCTCAATGAACTGAAGCAATGTTTGGAAGATAAGTGGGCCAAAATTCCTCAGTAATGATTTTAGAGACTGTTGAAGTCATACACTTACTGAGAGCTGTTGCTGCTTAATGTGGTGGTACAAGAATTTAATTAGGGGGTGTATTTCCACCTTTTATCCATTCTCTGTTTCATAAATAATGTCGGTGTCAAATTAGTTCTGTGTTTATGTACCATCAAGAATAGATTCAAATTGTTTTAGAATCTGGAAGGGAAATAAATTTTTTTTTTGTATTATTATCATTTCCAGATGTTTTAAGTTTCCTTTTTCTTGTTTTTATCCATGTAAAACAATGGATAAAAATGCATATAAAAAAGTTGTATTTTTATATTCAGATTGCTCGTGTCCAAGGATGACAAGATCAAGTCAAGGATGTTGTTAAAAGTCTTTAACAACAGAAATTGTCAAAGACTTTCTTTCCATCTTCTTGCTGTTTCTTTATTTAAGCATTTCTTTCTTTGTTTCATCCTTTTTTTTTTGTTCTTTGAGTCATAAAAACCCCGGAACTGAACTGGATGTTGTTGCACCATAAACAGGATAACTAATGCCAAAAAGTCGTAATGTCAATGTAAGGACAACTTGTGAACAGACTGTCCTGAAGAGCTATTAGCTTTTACAATAAAAATATTAAAAAGACAAAGTGTTATTAGAGAAAAACCAAACAGTTATAACTATTTATGCGTCAAGTTGTCTTTTTATATGCAGATGCCCATGTCCAAACAGCATACTTTAAGCCTGTATCCTTAGTGCTGCTCGACCTCCTATGAAGCCCACTTTAGGAGATCATGTACACAGTCAGGGCACAGCAGCTTCTATCATTTTAACAACCTCCCAATAACTACTAAAAGATGGTGCAATGGGAGATCCACAGGGCGGCCAACTATTTCAGCAGTTGAGAGTCTCTGGTGGAATCTTCGAGATGGCAGCAAACCAGTCAGAAGTTGTGAATTAGCTCTTAGTTGTGCATGCTTAATTTGAAAATCACTCAAGCATGGAAAGTCTTGTCAAGTAATATCCTTATTGCACGAGTTGAAACATTTTCTTTTAGGAGCCTCCTAACTGCTTTTGCTGTTGCATTTACAAAATTTTTATCTTGAAGAGTTCTTTAACAAACAGCATCTGGAAGGTCAGAGCATAATCTTCACTAGTGGGAGGAATAACTTTCTGTCATAACAACATGTAATTGGATTTAGAAGTCCTGTATTTGGTAATCTTAATGATAACAATATTTTGGTCTTGCTGATGCAAATGAGCTTGGAGTGTGTGTGTGTGATGCAAAATGTGCGCGTGGTTGTGTGTGTGTTTGTACTAGAGGTATGATGTAAATTAAGTTTTGGTTAGGGTTAGGAGTAGATTAATAATGTTTTGGGATAGGGGAAATGTCTGGGTTAGGCATATATGCAGTTACTAAAATGAACTGAAGTCAATACAAAGTCCTAATATGAGTAGAAACACAGATTTGTGTATGGATGGATTCAGGTGGGAAGGGGGCGAGGGGTGTTTTAATGTTCCGACGATGTTCCCTGAGGTGGCAACTCTTCATGTGCTTTGACACATTGATCCATTTTGCCAAGTAAAGTTTGAATGCATCACTTCTGAAAAGTTTTGAACAAATAAATATCCACATTTTGACTGTGAAGGAAAGCTTGATTTTTGCACCACTACAGTCTTTAGCTATGCATGTCTTTAACAGGTTGTAAGCCATCTTACATATAACCCAAAGTATGAGAAGAAATTTTCAATTATATCCTAGCTAAAGAAAAAATTGTGTTTTTATGTGGAGGATGGAAATTAAACATAATGAGCTGTCTTAATCAAAGCACTATGAATCCTTCATGATCTAAGATCCATATATTGTCCATCCTTGACCTGATTTTTACAAGGTAGTGAAATGGCACTTCAGTAAATGCTAACTTCTGTCTCCATTGGTATAATTCTGTCAGCATAAAGGACAAGGAGATGATGGTGGCAAAGGTAAGGGCGTGAATGAAAAGAGCTACGCAAGGTATGACCAGAGCAACATTTTTCAGAACTTGAAAGTGTCCCATTGAAGGCAAACAGTCCCATATCTTATGACAGAAAAATACAAAATAAAAACATAAAATGAACTGAACCAATATCTTAGTTGTTTGAGTAAAAACAGCATAATTTCTTGACATTTTGTCTCCTTAGTGGTAATACATTTTTGTAATCTCTCAAGGGATATTGATTAGAAGTCTTGAGACTTCCTGAAAATGTTTCAAAGTTATGTTATAGCTGGTACTTTTATGAGAGATAAGGTATTGATCATCACTGAGCTTTCTTTTAAGTTTGGAGCTTTTTTATATGTCAGTCATTTATAGATCAGATTCAGGCTTAATAAACAAGAAAAATAAATAAATAAAACTGTTCCCCTGTAAATGGTGAGGTCATGAAAATGGTTGACAATGTTTTCCATGTCCAAAAATAAACTTTGTAAAGCCTTCAAAACATCTGCAGACAAAAGATAAAGAGCACATTTTAAAAGACTCACTTTCAAAATATTGTATGATGTACACAAAAACATTACAATAATTAGGTGTCAAAATTATTGAACTACACACTTGGTCATATGTGCAGAAGAGCTGAGTAGTATGAGGAACTGCAGGAGATACAGATGAAAGCTTGCACCACAGCTGCCCCAAAGCTATTGAAACAGAGCCCTCAGTGAATTTATTCCAAATGAGAAATTTTCAAGTAAAATTCTGTATGTTGGCATACATTTTAATATGTTTGAGCATAAGAGGAAATATTTAATTCAAGATTGTGTAACTAGTTTTTCAACAGTAAGTAAACTTCTAACAGGCAGTGCAACGCACAAAGTGTAACAACACCTTTTCATGTTTTTATGTTTTTACACCCATAGCTAGGAAAGAGACATCAAGATTGTATTTGACAAGAAGCTGAATAAATATACAAAAGTGAATGGAAGAGAAACTGTAAATTGGTCAGTCTGAACACATCAGCCTGTCCTGGAAATGCTTTTTTTTCTTCCAAATTTAAAAACACATCAGCTCCTCTCAGCTGAGCTTTCATATATCCTCCGCGTAACACACGATTCTCTTGATCCGGAGGCTGTGAAAGCCAGATTTTATTTCTTCATCCTAAAGAAAATCTGCGTATCATAATAGATGTAGAAACTCTTTTTTTAAAGTTTTCTTCTTTGCTCCTAATGAGGTTGTATTTCAGTTTGCAAAAAATCTTTCCTTTAAAACACTGTGTGTTGTATGAAGTACATATATCTGAAGTTAATGCTAGTTTATCAAATAAATTTTTGTATTTTTCGGACTAAAAGGCGCACAGAATTATAAAACACACATACGCTGTTCATACGTAATGCGCACTGAAAAATAAGGCGCATTGCTGACTTTTTTTTGCAAATATAGGGATTTTATGTGCGTAAAATAATAAACTAAAATAATAAACTCCTAATTGCATTTATTTTTAGGTAGTTAAATGTTACACATAAATGACCATTCAGTATATTATCAATAAACTATTAGTAAAACAAAACCTAATGGTGAAACAAACAATTTTCAGTTTTGTTGATGAAAACTGAAAACCTTTTTTCCTTTAGAAGTTATTTGTTTATCTGATTTTCTGATGTGGAATGCTGGGCAGACAGACAAAGTTTTCATTATTGACTCAATTCACATAGATCTTTT